CACACACACACACACACACACACACACACACACACACACACACACTCACTCACTCACAATCAATCAATCAATCCATGAAACTCCTTTTTTGAAGTTTTTTCTTTATTTATTCTCAAATTTTGCATCTGAATTTTATTTAAACACCTCATACCCCTGCAAAAAATATAAATTAATTTCTAAAAAAATACAGGTGAACTTAGGGACCATATATCTCATGATAAGACAGTGACAAAAAAAAAAAAACTTTTCTTTATATTTTATTTTTCTTTAAATCGAATTTAGTTTTCGATTTAAAAAAAATCCTAAACAAAGTCGGATTCCCAAAAAACAAAAATGGGTTTGTAGGGCTTAAACTTTCCTACAACCCCATTTTTTTTTTTTAACGTATTATTTAATTCAAAAAAATTATGGTAAAATCGGGTCTACAGCGCGGACCAGGTCGGCCGCGGACGCAGCCCCATCTCCGTCCGCCATCCGAGATCAAACCCGCGGACGCGTCTGCGGGTGTTTCGTAGTCCTTAGCAAGTTTGTTGAGAATTACTTTGGTTAGGATTTTCACCTTGCTCACACAAAGATCGCTTATAACCATGCTATTTCATCTGCCATTGGTATGTTTTCGTACTACTATGACATGGGATATCACCCATGTGTCCCATCTGATCTTCTTCGACCATCTCTAATTCGTCCCGACACCAGATGTCGTGCTCTCGACGTTTGAATCAAAGAGACGGATCCGCTTCTTAACAAGGTTCATGAGAGCTAACTTCTAGGCTCGTACGGTGCCTCGCGCCAACCATTTTTACATTGGTCATCCCTTCAAAGTTGGCAACAAGGTTCTTGATGACCCACATTACTTCCAACCCGAAGTTGACGCACTTCGGAAATATACAAGTTATATGGGACCATGCATCAGTCTTGCACCCGCCAAACCAAGTCATGACTGTGCAGTGAACTTCAAATTGAAGCTCCCCAATTCCATGTACCACGCTAGCTTACATGACGAGTTTCATATATGTCTTTTCCGCCGCTTTAGACGGCCTCCTCCCGAGTTTCACGATCGATGTTACCCTCACCCTTCAATTATCATCATTGAGGGTCACAAGGAGTTCGTCCCCTCTAATATAGTGTCTCGGTGCATGAGTGATGGTCATCCTCCCCACCTTGAGTATCTTATTCGCTGGAAGGGTTATCCCAACGAGGGGTCTACTTGAAAGTCTCTTGAGCACCTAAAGCATGCCATGATTTTTGTGCATCCTTACAATAATGCTCATGCATCCTTATAGTCGTGCTCGTGCGTCCTTACGATCATTTTCATCCTTTCCCTCTATCATCCTCCATCCGCACACTGACCCATTTACTTCAACAACCACTTACATTCTGCATCCTACATCAATTGGGCCCTCCTACACCACCGGTATCTGCCTTGGATCCTTTCTCAAACGCAAATGTGGTTCCGCCTGTTGTTGTAGTGGAAGCATCTCGCGGGTCCGCCTGTTGTTGCAGTGGAGGTATCTCACCCTCAACATGCCCATCGACTGCCTTCTCGCTACCTTGATTAACCCTTACATCTACTTTATCCCCTTCTGTTATTCAACACGTATGCAGCAGCTCCCAATTCTGGTATCTACCTTGCACCTTTGACTTCAGTGCAACTCTCCAACAACAGAGTACATGTCGTTGCATTCCGGACTTCTGCTCGGCCTCAGTGTTACTCATACTTCGACCCAACTTCAGCTTCCAGCCTTAATAGTTGGCCTATTTCATTTCCCCCTCCGCCACGGAATTTCCCTAGTTCCTGCTCATCCCTCAGCTCCGAGCTTACTCTGCAGTCAAATGACCCATATTTCCCCTACTCATGTGGGCGTGTTCTTATGCCGCCCTTCTGCCTTACCCTATGTTGCGCAGCATACTCTGGAGTATACATTTTCTTTGTTTGCGGCTTTAGGTCACATGTCTATGCCGACATATCCCTCTCTCCGGTCAAGCTCACCTTATGCATGCTCCCTTATGTGAGTGCTCTTCCCCTTTCAGCTGGGAGTACCCTTTTGGTAGTTTCCATTGAGCCCGATGCCGTGCTGATACTCTATTATTCTCTCTAAGCCTAATGATGTTTACCTGGTTGTGTCGATACCCCCTTGGAGTTCACTATGAGAATTGTACCCGCCACCGTCTCACCCATCTCTACCTTATGCACTCTGTAAAAGGCACGTGAAACTGTGGCACATGCTTTGTCGACGTAGGACATTTGTATATTTTTCTCTTGCCTTTAGTGCCCTGATGTTGGTTTATGTTCATCCACATTAACTCCCGAGTCATTTTTTTTTTTCTTGGCCGACACAGGTCAGACAATTTTCTCTTTCTTGGCCGATAGAGGTCAGACAATTTTTATGTTTTTTGGTCAACTAAGACCAGACATTGTTACATAAATTACGCTTGAGGATTAGTCTCCATCACAACTCTTTTACTTCATCGAGTTTCCTCCGCATGTAGTACTGTTTTCTTTACCCTTCCTTTTGGGTTTCCGCTATTTCAGCGCACAGCGCGTTTGATGTATCGCTTGATCCATTCACAGGTTCAAGGATTGTGTAGCAATTCCCCTGCAGCCCGGCAGTGAGGCCGGCCCAGTTTCAGGCCGCCGGTCTGATCCTAGACCGGTATGAGGCATTTCAGTACCTGGATCTAGGCCAATATATCACTTCAGTACCTGGATCTAAGCCAATATATCACTTCTGCCTAGGCCGATGTCGCGAGGTTGATTCAGCCATACTTCAGTCTGACCATGACACTCAGCTGCTGCTTCTTGTGTTTGTCCATTGGAGCTCAGGTCTGATAGTTCAACAGGTCATGGGTGTACCAACTGAGTTAGGACAGCTGCGGATCAGTATGTTCAATGGTACAAGTCTGAATGATCTTCTTCTTACAATGAAAATCCAGTCTCGTTATTAAAAAAAAACAACAACAAGGAACCAGTCTCCCTTGCTCTCCTTCTCTCTAGTCTACGGTCCTGCTTTCGGCACCTCTACCCATGCCTGTGGCTGACCGCCTCCGTGCCAAATGCAATCTCGTCAATGCAGTTAAAGATTTTAGGACGAAAAAAATTAAAAAATAAAAACGCGTGCCATAGTTCTTGAGGAAATATTCATAACCTAAAAAAAATAATAAAAAAAAATCCACTTATGCATTCAAATCTGACAACGCTCAGAAAACACATGCTCACGCAGCACACGGTCATGAACACATTCGCCCCAAAACTGAGAGGAAAAATCAGGATATTCAAAAAAACTCCAAGAAAAAACAAGGAAAAAAAAAATAGTGAACCGATAAGCTGGTCATAGTGAATCGCCAAATAACTTTCAACATTTTTTCTTCATCCCTCTCCAAAAACCGATAAATCATAATACAAATAATTCGTGTATATATAAACATAAGGATCAAGAAACAGTCCACATGGCCCGTCACTCAACTACTTTCTCCTTTGAGAAAACTACGGCGCAGTGAGGGTTCGAGTTTGTAATTGCAGTTGAGGCAAAAGGGCCGGTGATGCTGAATGTATATGACCTACGTTTTGGGTCCGGTGGGATCGGGTGGGGGGGTGTTGTATTCGCGGGATTGCCTGAAGTGCAATTACAAACTGTTTTCGTGACTGCGCCGAAGTTACCCCTTCTCCTTTTCCTTCTCCTGACAAACAAAAATAGGTTCCTTGTCCACTGCCATAGTCGCTGTCCCCTGCTGCAGCAACGATTTTTCTCCCTTTAGCTCCCCGCTGCGGCATCGAATACTCCCCCTTCATCGCCCCGCTGCGGCATCGAATAATCCCCCTCCATCGCCCCGCTGCAGCAACGAATTTTCTCCCTTCATCTCCCCGCCGCAGAAACGAATACTCCCCCTCCTGCCTGCTGCAGTTTACCCAGTAAAAACTACAGTTCGTCTCCACTGTCTTAGTTGCTCTGCCCTGCTGCAGCGCCGAATATACTCCCTTCGTCTCCATGCTGCAGCAAGGAATACTGCCCCTTTCATCGCCCCCCTGCACTCTATCCAGTAGAAACTACAGTTAGTCTCCACTGCCTTCGTCCCTCTCCCCACCTGCAGCAACGAATATTCCCCCCTTCATCTCCCCGCTGGAGCGACGAATCAATCCCCCTTCAGCAACGACTATTCCCCCTTCATCTGCCTGCGGCAGTTCACCCAGAAAACACTCTGCCCTGCTGCAGCGCCGAATATACTCCCTTCGTCTCCATGCTGCAGCAACGAATACTGCCCCTTCATCGCCCCCCTGCACTCTATCCAGTAGAAACTACAGTTGGTCTCCACTGCCTTCGTCCCTCTCCCCACCTGCAGCAACGAATATTCCCCCCTTCATCTCCCCGCTGGAGCGACGAATAAATCCCCCTTCAGCAACGACTATTCCCCCTTCATCTGCCTGCGGCAGTTCACCCAGAAAACACTATCACTACCCCCCCCCCCTTTATCTCCCCGCTGCACCAGAGACGAATACAACCCCTTCATCTCCCCGCTGCAGCAACGAATATTCCCCACCCATCAACCCGTTGCAGCGACGACTGTTCCCCTGCAAATGCCTGCTGCAGTTCACCCAGTAAAACCTATCACACTTGGATTAGCTTCATCCATGAGAGAATCCCACGTGGTACAATAACTGCAAAGATAGTAAACTGAATCCACGAAGATTCCACGTGGATAACAGAAACAGAAGTGTGAGGCGACCCTTGCTTTCTCATTCCTCCCTCCGTCGTCTCCACACACACAACTACCTCCAACTAACGACCACCAGAGCTCATCTGGCGATGGCGGAACAACGACTACCTCCAACAACCGCCGTCCCCCGAAGTGACCGTGCGGGGAATGACGGTCTATCCACACTGAAAACTGCTGTACGTTCTATTCGGGGAAAGACAATGGTTTGCCCTTTACCCACTTCCCCCGCCGCGTTACTGATATGTCCTTGACCTGCGTTCATGGCGTCCATATCCGTCGTCAGTGAAGTACAGCAGGAATAGTCAAGCACCTTTTCACTCCTCCCTCCATCAACCTCGCTCGTCCTCCAACGTAACTGCTCCCCTACGTTCCTACGTTTGAGAGCCTGCGTACCTGTCGGAACGTTGTTTCTGCCTGTCTTTCTGGATGTCTATATCTACCTGTACACCATCAAGTTTCCCCCCCCGCTCTCTCTCTCTCTCTCTCTCTCTCTCTCTCTCTCTCTCTCTCTCTCTCTCTCTCTCTCTCACACACACACACACACACACACACACAC